TTATAAATATTGCATAATCAGAAATAAAAAAAATTAGACTTTTTATTAAAATCCAAATTAGCTTTTGCAAAAGGTATACATTGCTATGTAGTAAATATTAATAAGTAAACTAATATCATCATAAATAAAAATTGATTATCTAAGACATAAATATTTGTAATATTTATTATTTACTGTAAGAAGATTATTAAAATATGAAAGTTTGGTCTAATAATTAAATAATTTATATGTTCTAAAAATAGATTATATGTAAATTAATAAAAGTTATCTCTAAAAGTTTGGATATAATTAGAAATTTTTTTTAATATCATTAATTAAATAATAGCGATTTAATATTAAAGTATTTATAGTAATAATATCCTAATTTCAGAATTTGTAATTTGTGATACTATGCTTAGTGATTACTAATAAATTCTCTGATTAATTCTAACTATTCATTCATAATTAAATTTCTATCAAAAAATGAATTCAAAATATTTAATTTTTTTTATTTAATATTTATTATTATTACTTAGGTTTCTTATATCCTTAGTATTTCCTCATATATACTTGATCATTAGCAATGCAATGATAAAATAATAGCATTTTGTTTACCAGGTGATATGTAACTTTATAATATCTAAAATATTGTAAGTTTCATTACCACTACTATCATCATTACCTCATCTTTCTTTTTATTATATAAAAAAGTTATATTTATACATGAGTTTTAAATATAAAACAGAATTAAGTAGTAATAATAATTCCTTATTATCAAATATTCTCAACATAAATTCATTTCAGATATTGGAATTAGCATTAACTTTAAGAAATTCAGTTTATAAATCATACTGAAATTAGCAAATCATAGAATGATTACAGAAATTATGATTGCCTATAAGGATTGATTATATTGATTCATATATAATTTCATCAAATATATTCTTAAACTTAATAATATAAGTCTCTTAGTTTTCTCACAAGATAACCTCTCAAATAATGAAACTGAACTTTATTAAGATATCCTTGCTATCAATATTATCTTTGTTTGTTAAATGCAAGAAAAATAGTTAATAAGATTTGTATAGAATTTATTTATTTAACCTTATTTATCTAATACTATTGCTAACTAATATATATTATGTTGATATTAATAAGAATGAAAAGAATAGTAATAGAAAATACAAGAAACTATTGAAATTAACTCATTGCTCAAAATATCAAAAAAGACTAATCTGACTTAAACTCTAAAGATCAGAATGTACCTGAATTTTTTACAAAAAATATTGTTGAAATAATAGATAGATTATGCTAGGTATTTTGTTTTCATTATTGTTTCTTTTAAAGATATTGTAATTCTAACTTTATATATTATATACAAGCTTATTTATAACATGGTTGTTACAAATTTCAATTATTAATTCATATTAAGTATTTAACCATGCTATTAAATATGTAATTTAAGCTCAAAATAAAATTATCTATCAAAATAATGATTTTAAAATAAAACATCATTTTTATTTTCAAAAAAAAAAGATATAACATAAAAGAATATTTGATAGTTAGATAAATATGATATAGTACAAGTGCGTTGTTATCAATATTAAGTATTTGATAATTTTTTACTATATTTATTCAAATAGAATAATTAGTAAACATTTACTATTCATTTTCAATATTGTTATGAATCATTTAAGTTCTATATCTGTCTTTTTACATAATAAAATATTATTAAATCAACAAATTGTTATAAAGACAAAATTCCTCTTTTCTTTCTATTATATCATAAACATCATCAAAAAAATCATAATTGGCAAATTTGAAGGAAAAGTTTTAATGGATTGAAAGTTGATATTTAATAAAAAATTAAATCATTGGATATTAGTTTAAGTATATGGTATGTTTGGCTTTTTTTATAATCAATTTGTCTTATTATTTTTTATATTTATATTTTTTTTTTATAAGATATTGAGTTATTTATATTTTGTAGAACTACTCGTGCTCCTTCTAAAAAGAGAAATTTAATGAAAAGAGCTCAGGCTTATTTACGGCTTCACATCCAAAACCTAATTAATGAATGTCATATCTTGTGGTTTCTTTTAAACTTTGATGTCATTATTATACCTCCTTTTAATGGATGTTTCGCCATCTTAATAGAAAAATTAATTTAAAAACAGTTCGCAAGATGCTTATCTAGGCTCACAGTCGATTTCGTAATCATCTTGTTTTCAAGGCTGAGGAATTAGGTAAAAAGGTCATCATTCAAAATGAAGCATATACAAGTAAAACTTGCAGGTTGTTTATTTTCTTTTCACTTTATTTTCATCTTTTCATCTTTTTATCTATTTGTTTTTATGCAGTTGTTGTGGATTTATTAAATATAACCTGCAACAAAGTGTTTAAATGTAATAAACGTGAAGTAGTAATAGATAGGGATATTAATGGTGCTCGGGGAATTTTTCTCCGGATTGTTTGTTTACCCATTTTGACAAGTTATTATGAATCATATGTTGAAAATTACATCACATTTGACGGATTTTTTTTATTAAAAAATTATCCTATTATTTCTTATTTAATCGATAGATTTAGATGATCATAGTTGAAAATGATCAAGAAAATTCTTGAATGTTTCGAAGTGGGCGCACTTTTAAGGTATGTATAAAAGTCCATTCACATTTTAGGTGGAACTGTAAATGGAAGTATTGTCAATAGTCGATTTTATATGAAAGTGAGAGGATGCTCTTAAACTACATAATCATTTTCAAAAATCATATCATGCAGATTGATGTCTAGTCTAGGAATACCTGGTCAAAAATGATCACTGTTTTATCGGCTATTGATAACCTTTTATCCTATACATTGCATATTAGTATGATACAAGGTCTTATATGGCGGGGTAGAATTACCACCTGGCGTAGATAAACGTACTAAATATTTTTATATCGATAGAATCGTAAAAATGACAAATATTACCAAAACGAAAACAATAGATCTCTCTCTCTCTCTCTCTCAGAGAGAGAGAGAGAGAAATGAATTAGAAATGAACAGAAAAAGGACCAATTGAATAAAGATTTATCGATAATTTATTTATTTCATAATTTGTATCATGCATGATTTCTTTTTATTTAATTTATTATCATCCATAAACAATTTAATTTCTTTTCATTTTTTCTTTAAAAACGAATGTTTACGAATCTCTTCATCATTATGCGCAATTAATATCTCATTTTGAAATATTGCTAACTAATTTAAAACCATCTTCACAATATTTCAATATTTTAAATCGCAATATCCTCCTCTACATTTATAACATTCCTTCATTTCATTATTAATACCATCTGGGAATATTTCATTTATAATCCAATTTTAAAACAAAAACACATTTTTATAAACATAAATAACTAATATTTATTAAATATCTAATTATGATCATTTAAAAATTTACGTTCTAATATTATTATTCTTCGCCTAGTTAATCCCTCGATTAAAAAATTACGTTTTCTTTTTTGTTTTTTTTTATTTTTAAAAAATTATTAATTTTATGCATTATTTTCATATTTATTATGGGAGGTTTGCTAGGAAAATGGGGCTCTGAGAAATTTTTATTAAAATTTTAATTTTTATTGCATTTTAATTTTTGATAATGTTTGATTAATTAAAATTTTAATAAAAAAATGCTCAGAGCCCCATTTTCCTAGCAAATCTCCCATATATGTTCGCCTTGAAACTAACTTTCCACCATTATCAGAAAAAGTAATACATTCTTTACATGAACACATTATTTTTTTCTCTTTTAGATTGTTTCATTATCTCTTCTTTTTTTTATCATAGATAGATTCACCTAATTCAAATAATAAATGGGGAAATCTAATTTTGTGCATATGACTGAGACTGAGATCATCCCAAGTGATTTCAAAAAAGAATCCAAGAAAAAAAAAATAATATTTATTAGGTAGGATTTGATTTTGATTGATCGGAAGTTTCCGGAGAATTATAATAATTATAATGTGTCATTTGTCATCTCATCAATTGCAATTCCTAATAAGGTTAATTTATTTATAAATCAAACCAGTATAAATATTAACTGTAAAAAATTTTTTTTTGGTCCCTCGGGAAAAAATAATTTTTTTTTTTAATATCTCGTAAACATGCCTTATAACGCCGGTAAGTTATATTACTATTAAATGTTGTTATTCGAAGCGGATGATTTTTTAATGTCAGATGTTTACTGATCTCGTTTTAATAGCCACTGCTGACGCTTCAAACGGTGCTAAATTGTAGGATGAACCTATTTTTTTTTCAGTTTTTTCAAAAAATTTATTTAACTTAATAATTAATACGCACAGGTTCAAGACTCGCTGCGCTCAGTGCCATACAGTTGAGGCGGGAGGTTCAAATAAAGTAGGGCCAAACCTCCACGGGTTGTTTGGTCGTAAATCAGGCACAGTTTCAGGATTTTCATATACTGCCGCCAATCAAAACAAAGGAGTAATTTGGAAGGAAGATACTTTGTTTGATTATCTCGAAAATCCGAAAAAGTATGATATTTTTCTTACTTTTGATTATAGGTTTGAAGAATAACATTTCCTAATCGCATGTCTTATTTAGATATATTCCGGGTACAAAGATGGCATTTGCCGGTTTCAAAAAGGAAAAGGAACGAAATGATGTCATTGCCTATTTGAAAGAGGCTACTGCTTAAAAGATTCAAATGAAATTAATAACGTAGAAATTCACTTTTACAATTGAAATAATAATTAATGAAATTTATTTATTAAAAATAAAAAAATTTAATAGTCTTATAATGGTAATTCGTTTGTTTTTGTTTCTTTTTATTTATTAATCTCGAGGTAAATCAATAAGATTATAATTTTCCTAGATCAACTAAAAAAGAGTATCTTCCTATAAGTTTGAAAAAAAGTCTACATTACATGATAAAATAAATATTCTTTCATTAATAAAAAAAATAAAAAATAAAAAAGAAAACTTCCAAATTATTTCAACCTATTCCGTTTTACATCCTATTTCTTAAACGCAGCATGATCTTTATGGACTGTTAAATAGATAAATGGTATTAGATCTGAGCGTTCAAAAAAGGTGGAAATATCTTAATATCTTCATACCTTTATAATATGGACTTTGAAGTTCGTGTTCTAATAATTTTTGCAATTTATCCATTACTTTAGAATTTTCGTGAGCGTCTGCATTCTTATTCCAAATAGCGAAAATATCAGAATTATATCTAGAAGATACTGTTAAGCCAAAGATATCATCATCTAATATTATATGAAGAAAAATATAAGATCTTCTTTTCCCTGAATTTATTAAAAAATTATTAACTAATTAATTAACCTTTAGAAATAACATCCTCAAATTGCTCCCCAATTAGAAGCATGAGCAATTCTCTCCAAACTACTTGTGAATTGGATTTGTTGACACGAAATGACCATGCGCCTCCATTTTCATTATGTGGGTCTTCCCTAAATAATGTTGTAGTAATAAGTATTCTTGCCAATAATTACGCGTATCATAATAAATATTAAGACCTCTTACCATACGGGACGAATTCCATTTTTCATGAAATGAAGACTGCTTCTTAATTGTAGTTGTTCTGGTCCTAAGATATTGTTGTAAACCGACCAGAAACTCTTGGATAATAAAATTTAATTATATTATTATGATTAAAAGGAAAAAAAACGCGCAATGAAATTTTCTAACTCTTTTTTACCTGAACTGTGGTTACAGTTGCGACGCTTTTTAAATTTTCTTCGTATTCTTCTAAAAACATAAATAATAGAAAACTAATCAAATTCGATTGAAAATATGGAATTGCCATTAAAAGGCTTAATAAAATCAATTACAGGAATTTTACCAGGCGTGGCATTAGCGACATATCTTCGTTTCGAATTTTAAGTTATTTAAAAATAAAATAAATAAATAAAAGAGTGAAAAAGGATATATTAGCATACTTTTACGCGAATTGAGTTCAAGTTATTATTGTTATAATTATTAATTTTAAAGGTTTTCTTAAGAAAATGAATGATCGAGAAACTTAAAGGAAAGGTCATAATCAGAACTCACTTATCGTGGTAAAATGTCCATTCGTTGGCTAATGGGTACGGTTTTGAACTTTTAACATTATCTACACTCCCGACGTCACCTTCATTAGAAGCTCGAATTGTATTATTTCTCCAACTTGTAGTTGAATTAACAACTGAAGGTCGTGTAGCAGAAGTTGTATGAGAAGACATTTTATTTATTATTTTTGGTTCACTTTTTGGCAATAAAGCCTATCGTTTATCTTTAATCTTTAAATAACAGGATTTAACTATAAATGATTAAAAAATATTCGGATAAAAAAATGATAATCGCAAAAAATAATATTCAAGTAATTCCCAAGACGAAATTCACTTAATTATAATATTCCTCCCTTATCTTTTTGGAACCAATAGCAAGTTTGTATTCAGGAGGTTATGCCTTTTCCACACTAGTTCATAACCTTTTAAATGTTGAAATCATAAATCATTTATTAGGTTTCTTTCTAAAATATGTTATAAATTTATTTTGTAGATCTCGTATCTTGATTGGCTACATGACACTGTTGGCGTTAGTTTGGTTAGATTGTCTGTAAATTTGCCTGCATGGTTTTCGAAATTCGTATCATACCCATCAAATGGAAGCTTCTTACAGTAGAAATTTAACATATAAATTAAAATATAATTTTTCTTTCTTTCTATTAAATAGTTAAGCTGGTATCTTCATGCAGATTTGGCAAATACTCAATACGAATTTAGTATGATGATAATGAAAAAAGTAATATCAAATTATGGAAATCAGATTTTTACCTTAAAAGCTGATATTGTATAATTTCAATAGTTTTGACATTCAACTCAGACGTTAAATAGTTAATAAAAATCATTAAAGATCAGACTTTTCTAACAGATTCATTAACTACCTCAAGTTCTTTGATAACTGCCAGGTTTAGGATATGGGTAACACACTGGTAATGAGAAAAATGCAAATTTTCAAATTCTTCTTCAAGCCCTTCTGATATAAATGTATCACAAGAAATCATTGAAGGTGCATTATCAGTTATTATTGCCAAAGCTTTTTCTGATAAACTGAATTCATAAAGAACTACCATTATAGTATCTGCCATATTTGATTCCAGTATGACGAACAGACATTGGGATAATATTAAGAAGAAAGGATCTTAATTTTCAAAAAGCACTTACATAATATATAGTAAGACTTAAAAAAGGCTGTATTATTTGCTGCTGTTCATATATCTGTAGTAAAAGCTATTTTTCCAAGAATTTGATTCACCACTAACTTTAATTGTTCTCTTTTTTCTTGAAATAATGATATTATTTAATCCTTAGTAGTATGCCGATTATGAAATTGGTACCTTAGATCAAACTTAGAAATCATTTGTTTCCATTCATTACACTCCACAACACTAAATGGTTAAGTATCACATATGATCTAATTTATAACATATTTATCATGTTTTTGTTGTTTATGCTTAGGATAAAGATCATTGCAAAACTTGTGTATGGTCTTTTAGCATAGTTTAAGTGTAATAATTTCATGTTTATTCAAATATCTTCTTAAAGTTGAAGTTGAAGAAGATGATAAAAGCTTAATCTTACATCTTTTACAAAATGGTTGATCAGAATATTCTTCTGTATCAACATTAAAGTGTTTCTATACTGATGATTTAGATCATAGTATAGTAGACTGCAAAAAACCTAATAATTTATCATCATCTTTCTTAATAGAATCTTTAGCTCTGATTTTATTATCATCATCTTGGGAAAATTAGATATCAGTATCATTGTCTTTATTAAGTTGGCCGCTCATATTATTGTTTTATTATCAGTACTATATATAAATGATAGAGGATTACCTAAAATAAATCACAATATAAAATTTCTATTATTATTTTAAGCTGATATAAAAAAATTTTGGTCCTAAATTTACAGAGTTATTACTACGAATGATTGGATTGGATTTGATAGAACAGATATTATAAATATGATTTAAAGGGAAATTTTCAAACAAAATAAAACATTTTAGAATTAATCAAAAATTTATAAGAATAATTATTAAGGCTATTATAAAGTAGAATCTGAATGTGACTCTATTGAGAAACAATTCCATTTTTTTCATTAATATAACAAAATGTTTATTTATATTCAACAAAAATTATTTTTATTTTAAACAAGTTTTGACAAGTTTATTTGAACGATTTTTATAACTTTTGATAATTTTAAAATATAAACTTAAATTTGTATTCCAAAATGACATAATTACTTGCTAATTTATTTGCTAAAACTTGTTGCATTTGTATTGGATGAAAAATATATATGATAATCAGTCTGGACTGGTTTTCATATTATAGACTAAGGTGAATACTGGTCTATTAATCAGATTGCGAACTATTCTTTTCAAGACTAATCCAACTCTAAAGATATTACTATCTCTATTACCTTAAGTCTGTATATTCTAACCCAATGTCATAAAAATAAAGAAAAAAATTGTTATATGAGTTTTTTTAAAAAAAAAAAACAATATAATTAAAAAAAAATTTACCTTTAATCTGATATAACCAAGGCTTCAGATTATTTTACAAAAGTAAGTTTTTAGTATTAGTGTTTTTTTATAGAAATAAAATAATAAAAAAACTAAGTTTTAATTAAAGCTTACATCTGATCCAGAATTCCAAAATCTATTGATTTTAGATTAGTCTACAAAAGTAAGTTAATATTAATTACTTTTTTATTTAAAAAAATTTACTAATAAAATACTTATTTAGAACTTACCTCTGATCTAATTCAGTTTCAAAGAATCCAAATCACCTTATCCCTTAGATTATAGGTTTCGTAAACAAATTTGCCTGCTTATTTATTATAAATTCTTTTTTGATTTACTTTTAAAAATAATTAATATTTTTAAAATTTTTTTTTTTTAAATTAATTATATATAAATATGTAATATATTATAATAAGTTTTTCTTTTAATTATATAATAAAAAATGTAATGTTACTTAAAAGCTAGAAATTTGTAATTTTTAAAAAAAAATTTATTTTAAAAAATTTCATAATTCATTTATGATAAACTTTTTAGAATTTACTTTTAACTATATTAATCACAATAGAATATTATAAAATTACTTATAAAAAAAACTTTTATTATTATAATATTTATAATTTATTAAGAAATTTTATGATTTTAATTAATGATAAAATGATTCAATTAATATTCAAACATATAAATTTTTAAAGAATGTTTAAAAAATTATTATAATGAATTTTTTGAAACTTAATTTTATAATTAAATTATTTTAAAAACCTTTTAAAAAACTTAAAATTTTTGTTAATAAAGTTGATAAAAATATACTAAATTATATTTTTATATAGTAATAATATTACTAAAATTAATATTTAATATTTTATAAACAAATTAACAATTGTTTTTAATTTCGCAAGCAAATTTGCCTGCTAGATAATCTAAGGAATAGATAAGTAAAATTTAGTATTAGTTTTTTTTATAAAATAAAAATAATTAAAAAAGTTTTAATTAGATCTTACATCTGATTTAGGATTCAAAGAATCTAAAACGTAAATAAGTTGATGTCAATTTATTTCTTTTAAACCTTTTAAACTTTAATTTTTTTTAATAAAATCCTTAATAAATTTCTTATCTTAGATCTGATTCCAATTAAAGTTAAAAATCAATACAGCATATTGAGCTTATAACTAAGGATAGCAACTGTTATAATATAAAGTTTTATATTTAATAATAAATAATTAAAAAAATTATTATTAATAGATTTTTTACAAAAATAATTTGATATTCTAGATAAAAGCATTAAATATTATAGGATTTACTTGTAATCCAAATTTTAAGATGTAAAGCAGTCTATAAAGGTAAGTTAATATTAAAAATTTTTTTAAAAAAAGAGGTATTAACAAATTTCTCCATTAGTATTTACCTTCAATCTGATTCGATTCAATCCAAAATCTAAAGAATCTAGACATTCTACAAAGTAAGTTTAATATTAGTTCTTTATAAAAATAAAAAGAAATATAAAATACTAAAATTATCATAAATTTACCTTTCAATTAAAGGTTTTAAGTTTTATTAGTATGTGTCTAAAATAAGTTATTTATTAATTTTTATTTTAAAATAATTAATAAATAAAAATAAATTAAATCTACTAACAAATGACTTATATACCTAGTGATCTTAGATTTCCATTTTTTGACATTTTGGTTTAGTGATATTCTAATAAATGAAAAAGATGTTAAAAAATATTTTCAAAGTACAAGTAAATAAAAGAAATATTTTTTTCAGTTCAGATTCAAATTTGAAGTAGTATAGCTTTATCTAATTGTTTACATTTCACCTAAAATACTAATTATTACAAGGTTTTTGAGAAGAATAAAATGTTTAAAATAAGATAAATAAAATAAATTAAAAATAAAAATAAAAAAGTTAGTTTTTATCGGATTCATCAGATATCTGTTCATATATCTAATATATTTGACAGATAATCTGATCTATTTACAATTCGCTTTTCTGATAGATAGTTTATCAGATATATAAATTGATCAGATTTAGATCATTTTTCTAATTTAAGGTATCAGATAGATTATGATTCCAGTCCATATCTGCATTGAAATCTTCTAAAAGTATATAATAGAAATCATTTGTAATAGCATCTTTTAAAAGATTAATTAATTCTCTTTGAACATTTTTTATAGTAAAGTTATCAGTTGATGATAAGTAACAAATTTATAAAATAAAGTTTTGTTTATTAGCAAATTGCAAATTGATATAAATAATTTTATTTAATATCAATATGTATTTGAAAATGTGATTGGCTAAATAAGATCTTAATAGAATGCTAATTTCAAAACCAGTACCATAAAGTATTTTGTATATTTTATATAGTATCCCCTTATATATAGTACCTTCCTCTCTTTTCAGACGAACTAAAATGTATAATATCTGAGGTATTATAAATCATGAATTTTTCACTCACTGTATAGTACCTAGATACTAAATATCATATATTAATAAATTGAATGATCACACAATTACATTAAAAATATTATTTAAATAAAATTTTATAAAAGTAATTTCTTTATTTAATTATTCATTTAACAAGCAGCTTTATTATATATTCATTAAAACATATGCATAATGCTTAATTCTATAGATTTTCATAATTTTCTATATTATT